ACAGAGGTCCAAGCCCACGCGTAGCTCCCCATCAGCGCCCTGGTCCGGCTGGTGACGATTGCCAGATGGTCCCAGCACCGCCTCTCCCTGCAGCAGGAACAGCTGAGCGCTGGGCTGGGAGCTGCCAGGCCAGGCTGGAATTATTCTAAGTCAGTCCTAGTTACTAGAAACTAATTTTCCCCCTTTCAGGCAACGCTGTCCTATTGATCAAACCCAACCCCTGGCACGTGCTGCATTCTGCTGTGCTACCACAGCACAGCTACTCCGTTTCCAATGTCTATTTTTTTTGGTTTGGTTTTTTTTTTTAATATTCAGCTCCATCCAGCTTCCCTAAAAATATGCAAAAATATTACGCAGAACCTGGAGAGACTTTTATACCACCTACTACACAGACCCGACAAAACAGATTTTCAAGGAAAACGCACAGACAAAGAGTCAAAAAAACCCCCCCAGAAAAACCAAACCAAACAAAACCCAAAAGGAATCATCGCTTAGTTAGCATTAAAAAGAATATGTCTAAGACAACAGTTACTCCGGGTTTTGTTTTGTTTTCCATCAAAAACATATTTTCAATTACATGGCCGTTTGAAATATTGCTTTTGCTTTAAAGTGGGAAAGAGAAAGCTCGGCACCCAGCAAAAAGCGTTTTAAAATAAACCAAATCTTGTTTGTTGTACATTCAAGCATCTCCTGCAAGAAATTTATGCATGTAAAAGTCCGGAGACAAAAGGAAAGCATGTGTCACCTTTTCAACAAAAAGGCTGCAAAATCTCAGTTTTATGTAAATAAGCAGGCATGGCTTCCAAGGCTTTAAAACCAGGGAATGCTGAAAACGTCTATAGTTCCTCAACTCAAGTGTTGCTCCTGGGCAATGCTATAATATTCATTAAAGAATCCATTTATCAACAGATACCACATGTCAGAGTTTTCCAGCACAGTTTTCCTGACACTCCACTGCAAACGACGCTTAAAAAAAAATATTAAAATGGAAAGCAATAATCCGAGATGCTTTTGCCTGCTGTTTCATTCCACAATAGCTATTAGCAACTAAAAAAGCAAAGATTTACACTATATCCTTTCTGATAACGTCAAGCATTATGCTTTATTTTCCAAATCATTAGCATGCACAAGAATGACCTCATGGTGAACAGATGCACTTGGATATGGCAGTGATTAGATCAGTCCTCTCAGCAGTCAAGTGTGCCCATTTCAATTAACCCTTTGAAGCACCAACTGCAAGTCTACGCTGCCGAAAAGCAGGTTTATAGGTTCTCTTGGAAGTAGAACTCTACCCTTGTAAGCGTAAACCCCTCAAATATAAATCTTTCTCTGGTGGAAAAATGACCTCTTTTCCTTTCTACAATATCTGACAACTGCCCTTTTCTAAGGGTTAACTTGGTTCTGGCTTCTGATCTTGAATGAAAAAAAAAAACCACACCAAACCAAAACACCAACGAAGCTTTTTAGGCAGCAGAGGTAATTAAAGTTGGAACGCTTTTGTATCTCTGCCTCTTTCATTTGTATGCTTTTTTTTTTTTTTTTTAAACACACAAGTATTTTGTTGAAGAACTGTTTTTCTTTTTGGCCGAGAGAGCAAGAACAGAAAAAGATAGCAGCTTAAAACCCCGTCCTCTAAAATGAGAGAAATCTGCAGAGGGAAAGGATAAGAATAATTCAATAGCGTTGGATTACGGAGGATTTCCTGGGCTGACTCTCATACCCAGCCTAATTAAAATACAGCATGTAATGTACCAGTTTAACAACAAAGGACCGTATTCTCATCTTTTGTTCCTAATCTGCACATCCCCTAAATGAGTTCAGGGATGGCCATTCTGCCTACCAGGCTGCATTTGCAGCGTTTAAGATACACGGGGCTATCTATGATGTGTGTAGTTGGTTTAAGCTTCTACTTCTGAAAACGGCAAGAAAGGTCAATGGGAGGATTTTTGTGCACAAAATGAAGCACCTGCAAGTCTGTTTGTGAGAGGGGGGACTGAGGCAGGGCATACTTCAAGGCACGCACATCCCATCTGAATGGAGGGGAAGCATCCCCAGGGACGGTATCAGAAAACATCACAACATTCAGTTCAAATAAATAGATGGTGGTTAGTAACACACCGACAAGGCATGATATTAACAGCTACATATTTGATTCATTTCTCACAGCCGTGGTTTCCTTCTTACACTGTGTTAACTGCTAAAAACAATCCGAATTTTAATAAAAGGCGTACTTACTCGTTGACCCTCTCTACTGCGCACGTGGAGGTGCAGCAATGGCAGGACTACAGTTAGGGGGTGTTAAGAATAAGATCAGAGGAGAATTAATCTTAAATTTACCTGAAAAAGTCTAAGCTGGGCAGGGTCAGTAGTTTCAGCTTGCTTGTTACCCGGGAAGGGGAACCACAGACCAGCGTCAGCTCCAGACATTTATTACTCTGTGATTCATTTTTTTTCTGTTTCTGAGGGGAATTAATACAAATCCCCCCTCTCACACGAAGAAAAATGCCATCTGTATTTCTAAGCTCGGAGGAGGTCTGACTGCCCGTGGTCAGCCCTTCACAGCCCCAGAGCATCCTGCTGCTCCCCAGCCGTGCCCACGCCAACGGGGGAACCGGAGGCTCCGCAACGGTTTGTCATCCCTTCCCCGTCGTTACTGGGGATGGATGGATGGATGGATGGATGGCTGCAAATTTCAGTCAAATTGCACCCGAGCTGGTTCTTTACGTCTTTCCGTAACCTTTCCACCAACCTAAGCAGCTGTTTGATGTGGAAATAGGGAGGGCTGAGGTGGATGCTCGTGGGACGGGGACGTGCGACGGCGGCCGAGTCGGGAGGTTTACATCCCGGCTCCGTGCTGATTGCCAGGGTGGCATTTGATGGAAAATCCACCCTAATGGCAACAACTGCCACAGCTCTGGGTGATATTCCACTAAATATGCAAGCGAATCAGTAGGGAACGTGAGGAGACTCTCCCAAGCAAAGGTTTTGACGCCAGAAGTCGTGACCGGCCTCCAGTCTCTTTGTGAGCGTGAAATAAATTTGGCAGTCTGAAAATCAGGACCTGGCTCTGGCAGGTTTTACTCTTGACAAAAAAATAATAATAAAAAAAAAATCACGCAATCATAAAAAAGCATTCGGGTACTGATGATTCAACCCCGTTCTGAAAAACTGAATTAGAAATTAGGAAACATTTTAAATATTTTTTGGCATACGAAATACATCACAGATTTTAGAAAGTACGACTATGGGACTGTCAAATGAATCTATCCTTGCTTGTCAAACTGAATTTGTTTATAATAAAAATCACTGTGTGCCGTAAGAAAAATGTGAAAACCAAATACAATTATGCATAGAGGAAAACACTTAAAATAAATACATCTACATTTTTATTTGCTGATACGTCAACAGATGAACGATGGGAAGTGCTAACAACACTGGGCACGAAATCTCCATTTCTATTGAAACTGATAATTTTTTTTTGTCTCGGACTTTTTGGCAGAGTGTATAAAAGAATTTAATTCACAGCTGTTCTACTTTTTAATGTAGAAAACATTAATCAAAGCTTTAAGTTATAAGCTTTTCTAATGTTGTTTAGTATTCCAGTTCAGCAAAGATCAATAGAGGCCATCCCTGTGTTTCTTGACGCCTCTCCAGGAAGCAGAGGCGCGATTATGTAAATAGCACCGCTTCCCCTTTACTTCTGCCAGCTTGCTTATCTCCAAAGCCTTCTGCCTGCTGCTACTGGCGACCAATGCAAGGACATGCATATACCTCTTATCTCCCAACAAAGCTCCGAAAGCTCCAGGATTGGAGCCAGTAACGTTAAACAATGATGCCCGGCTGATTTTATTTGTAAGTGATTTATTTTCGCAAATTTAATTTCTTCCTCCGATTTTTTTCAGTTTAGATGGAAGATATTTGCTAACGAGTCAGGCTAAAGAGAAACAGAGCAGATGTCCTGCAACGTTTATACAGGTTCGAAATAATTTATTAAACCATCTGAAAGAGTAGCGGGGAATAATGAGAAAGTGCCAGTTTTCACCCTGTGAGTGCAGAAAGGGGATTAAGGAATCTTTGTTAGAGAGTCCAACGCAGGGTGACCATACACTTTTTGGAGGCTGGAAAAACAAATCTTGAGGATGCTAGAAATCTGCATTTCAGAGTCAAAGCTTCCTTTCAGGAGACATTTGTATAAACTCAATTAAAGCAGCAAAGTAAGGGTTTGTATCTTCCTGAGTGCGTGCTAACTTCAAATCTCACTAGGGCACGTAAGGAATAAATTCACTGAGTTCAGCGTTACATTTTCATCTTTCAGTGGGGGCTGATGAATGATGACCAGGGTTAATGCCTGTGTATATACGTTTATACACAGATGTATGTGCACACACACCCCCACACACGCACGCGCACACGGATGTATATCCATCCATCCATTTTTAAAAACCCCAAACGGGTTGCGGGCCAGGTGCTGGAAGGAAGCCTGAAATTGGCTCATCTATATTGCAGGGCAATGTTAGCATACTGCACGCTGCTATGATTTTCTAACAGAACGCCGTTCTTACATTTCTTTTGCATTAATCCCTGACCCTGGTATCTCAGCAGCATAATCCCCATTTAGCATTAGTAGCGGCGGCTTCTACTGCGAGGAACTATTTCTCGATAAGTAAGCACCGATTCAGGCATAGCTTTTGAACAACATATTCCCAGCTCAGCAAGAAACCCACACTCCTGAATGAACCCGAGCACATTACTGCGAGAAAGTTCATTAACCTTGCTAGATTCGGGGGTTAACAGGATAGCTGAAGAAAGGAGCAGAGTGAATGGCTCTGATGCAAAACAAATTAAAATGAATGTCATCGTTCCTTTTGATATTCATTAGTTGATTCAGGGGAAGAATGGTCTTCTTAAATTTGCAAGCATTTATCTACAAAAAACAGGTGTACATCTGCTGCTCAAGTGCTTCTTAGTGCTAAAGGGAAGAATAACGTGCAGAGACTCACCAGTTCCACCCAGGGAGTAGCTGGGAGAGGGAGAAAAGACCTGAGCGGCAAAATCCTCAAACGTCATTACTTCTTTGTGGTTCTGGATTATTGCTTCGAGATACAGAGCTCTCTCCTCGTAACTGCAGAGACGTCAGGTTAAGGAAATGTGTGCAGAGGATGAAATGCTGCTACACAACACCCGCCACCGCCAGCGCTCGGACCCAGGCTGGGCAGGGGCAGGGGACAGAGGGGACCGAGACTGCCTGGTGCTGCTCTGGAGGTGAGCATCCAGGAGTTAACACACTTCATGCCTTGAAATCAAGGGTAATACCTTTCAGCTTCACGAATGACAAGCGGTGACTTGGTGGGTCAGGCTGCTAAAGTTACCCAGGGCAGAAATAAACCCCCCCCACGACAAGCCGTGGCATAAGGGAAAGTTCCTGGTACACAATATTCCTGTCACGATGACCCCGTTAGACTAGAAAAATGATGAGCTAGGAGAAGCAAGCTGCAGGACAGAGGAGAAAACTCCCCATGTATTTATTTGACCACTGTGTTTCTTAAAAGAAATTAATCGTAATAAACACAATCCCTGAAAGCGCGAAGTTTCTATTTAAGGCAGGTGCTGGAAGGTGGAATCTTATGTATCCTAAATAAATGATGCCCATTGGAAAAATTCACCCCACAACTTGCACGCGTTACAGCCTGCATAATGCAGACAACAAAGCAATCTAAAAATCAAGACTATTGCCTTTTAATTAAAACTCGGCAACCTGGAACACACAGCATTCAAATGTGTAATCAAAAACCAGTCACCAATAAAACTTACAAGCGTAACAAGCTGAAGCAACTTTCCAGCTGTCTTAATAGGACCCCTGCTTGTGGCAGCTTTTCACAGCAGAGAAAGCAAATCTTTTCCTTTTGTCTGCAGCTTCTGTTTTCTCAGAAGGTGAATCATACACTTCCAATAACAGGATAACGCCTGAAACGAATCTACAATGGGCTGAAGAACCTCACGTATGACTTTATGAATTAAAGCTCGCAGGAGCCAGTATGACATCTCATTCTCTGCTTCCTCGTTTAAAACAAAAGTTTCCAGATCCCCATTGTGTTTCTGGTACCGGGCGATGCATTCGGACTCCGCAAGGCTCTTAGGAGAGAGCAAAGGCCAATTTAAATTTAGAAAGTGGGGGCAGTGAGAGTAACACCGGTGACAACGTAATGCGGGTGAGATTATTTAAAATTGAAAAGCAATCCTAATTAATATTGAAGTGCCATTTGTCACTTTCACTACTTTAACAAAAACACTCTGAAAGAGTATTTAAAAAAAAAATGTCAAAGTGAAGCAGTGCTTAAAAATAGGACGTGATGGTCCAGTGTGCTACCTTAAGGGGAATAAGCAAAGCGCTTCTTAATTGTATCCAAGTTCCTACGGGCACGGTGGGAAGAAAAAAAAGGGAAAAAAGAAAAAAAAAAATGAGGAATTTTGCTTTTAATGCTAGCAGAGGATGAGTGGTGTATGATAAATCTTCTAAACTTCCCGTGGAAGCCTGAAGAAAGCGAATCACTAGGTAGCACTGCAGAGTTTGCACCTGCTGCCAGCGTTATTTGCTTGGTTTTTCTCCCTCTTCTCCCTCAGCCCGGGGAGAAGGCATTCCTGACAGCGCCAGCATCAGCCCGCCGGCCTTTGGGGCTGCCTCCCTATTATGGGCTGAACTCCTGATGACTCTTGTTAATGAATAGGCTGCCAAACTTCCTCGGAGAGGAGGCACACGCCTGGGCCCTATTCTAAAGGGACTGACGGATGCCATTCACTTCTCATTATGAAGATGCTTCATTCTGCGGCGCGCTCGGCTGTT